CAGAGCACCATGTTCCATCATCGTTTTAGGTATGTTGCTTTACCCAAGCATGTCTGGATCGTTGCTACCCCGGCAAAGGTCATCGTATGGGAACTGTCTACTGAGACGTTTGGTCGACAGCGCGCTCGACTAATTACAGCAGTGAATTCAGAAAGAAATGATTCATAATGCCGATTTCAAACCTGTTCCTCTTAATCTGATTACCGTATACCTCTAAGAATCAAATAGAGAACTCGTAACGATGCATTCGAGCCCACAATCAGTTGTGAGCTAGTTACCACAGCCGAGTGGATAGTCACAGGGAAGGCGTTTCTTATCGTCAGTGAGAACCGTAGGGATGAGCAAAAAGCTCATCTTTCCTACAGTATGGCGCAAGCATTTGGGATTAGTGAACAAGAACACTTGGCATTTCACATCCTATCGCGGAGGATGTGAAATGCCAAGTGGGAGCAAAACCCACAGCAAACCCACAAAACCTGGGGAGCATTCCGCGCTGGTCGTCTGGGAAGCGTTTCTTCGACTCCTAAGTTTTCCTATTGGTGGGACCCGAATTACTCAACTGCTCATGGGATAGCTGAGTGGGTAGTGGCCAACGGCTAACTCGCAGCCAATCCATTGGCAGTAGAAGGACGCCGCCAAACATCGAACCCATTACCTTTGTACGATTCTGAAGATTTGGAAATGTCTAGCCTCATGCGGAAACCGATCTTATTGCCCATGTTGACAAAGCGTAACATCAAGCGCTGTTGAGTTCCACAAGCAGTACCGCATACACTGAGACTGCTTATCTTGCCTGATCGCTGGAATTCGAATGTTTAAGGGAAAGAAAAAAACAATATTACTTGGTATGGAGTCTTGCCTCCTCTTCAATTTACCTCAGTTTGCTGCCACAATCGACAAACCGATGCACGTCGAAAATTTTCCGCCCATCGCCACACCGGATGCACAGCTCGTAATGGGACGGCAAATTGCGATTGTCCTGACACTTTTCCTCTAGAATGACTCCACCTGAGAGCCAGCGACTCCAACCGCTCTGGTATCTGTCCCCTTGCTCGTTGAGTGCTCTCTCGCTGAGGGTCCTTAGCCCTTCCTGAGCAGTCTGTTCCCCGAAGAATCCCTTACGAAACATTCGCCTTCTCAGCCTCATAGCACATCTGCAATAATGAGGGCTCTATTGAAGGCATTTCCGATGGTATCTGCTGATTTCTACTCAAACGTGGAGCAACTTAAAGGCACGGTCCGCACAAAAAAGGCACACAGGCACAAAAAAGCATGATAATCGCCACTTGTACGATCGTAGAAATCTTATCGGTGAATCAGCCGTGCATATGAGGGCGTAGTTTTGGAGATAGAGTTGATTGGGCACGTACAAACTGGGATCGAAATGGGGTTCTATCTAGGGCAGGTGGCATGTTTTTGTGCTTTTTTTGTTCACAGTCGAGTTACTCAACCCCTTGTCGTCTATATGGAACCCCCTAATCCACCATCTGAGATGGCGAGTAATCGCGGGTTCTTCCTTTAAGAAGATCCGTTTTGCTTCAAGAGTGCATCACGTAATCTTTTCGAGGATTCAGCTCCCGATGGGAGGAATCGCAGTGTGTACAATACCTCTCCCTCCCCCAAGATTTCCACGTCCGGTATAACACTCTTACCTATCCTACCTGTAACATTCCTAGATTTCCTCAGCTTCCACCTCTTTTCTCGGTTTTACCTATGATTGTTCCAAACTCCGTCACCCGTTTCCTGCCGTCGCCATAAAAAGAGCCGCCATCGGTGGGAGGAGCAGCTGCAAGAATCTAACTTCAGTATTACCACTAAGGTACCGTAATCCGAGATGGCGTGCAATAAACTAAGTCCTACTGTTGTCAAGGTCGGTGTTGGATGTACCACAACAACCGACCTTGATGACAGTACCAACATATTTGAATGGACGTGGCTGCATTTATCGCGGTGTTTCGCGTTCGATGGAACTCCGTGCATTTGCTGTTGTTCTTCAGCTTTCAAGTAGGAGACACCTGTGTATGGTAGTGATTTCTATTGCGTTGATAGTGAAGAACAGTCGTGGAGCGCGCCTCCGACATCTCTCATGCAGGTACACAAAATTAGACAATAAATAGAAGAATAAGAAAAACAAAATTCCTTTGGATGGTAGTTTCTTCTCGAAGTTTCGGAGCGCATGAGAGCAGTGTTAAGAAAACGAAAAAGGAAAGGGCGCTACTGCAACATCTCAATAAAAGTGTCCTGTCCTGGAGCAGTTTGGCGACGGGGGGGAAAGGGGCATTTTGTACGTTGCCACTTCCCATCGACGTGTCGACCTGTCTAGACACCCACTTCTCGAGTTCACAGGTTCTACCATGATTACTTGGCGACCTTGCTCCAGCGAGTTTACAGGTTTCATCAGACTGAGACTTGGAAACCGGAACTAGTGAAGCCAATGAAGCAACGAAAGTAGAGAATGCCCCTCAGTAGAGAATGCCCCCTCCCCCCTTCCTCAGTCGCCGAATCGAATATCCTGATCACTGATACAACATCTGTTCTCAGTGCCGATAACAGTAACACTAGAATGGCGCTAGCGCCAGTTTGCCGTCACCACTTCTCTGAAACTGTTCTAACACCGATCAGAATCTTTGTGGGCAAAGGAGCTTCTCCGCTAAATCTTGATCTTTGTTGGTTACTGATGATCCTGATAACAATTCGACATTCGTTTTCGCTTCCATGCCATACGGCATCAGTCGGTGACACGACACAAAGTAACGAATTATGCCGCCGAAACCAGTGATCAGGAGTTCCTTCAAAAGTGTTCCAAATGGCTCGCTCCTTCAAAAATGACATTTTTTCGGTAAGATCTGATCCCGAATGAATGGCAAATCATCAGTAATGTTTACAAACGAATGAGATAAGTACAAACCCGCGAATGATGGAAGAGGAGTAGTGGGACAAGTGATCAGTAGTGTCAGACAAAGACTATGGACGAAGTTAGAGTGGGACGTGGAATGGCGGCGCTGGTCCACCGGTTGCACGACCGCTCATGATGAGCGCAGGACGACGACTGATTTGAAAATGATGACAATAGTACTGTGTGCGCGGTTCCCCGCGATTCATGCTTTTCGTAGTAGCACCGATGACAGTGCGCGGTCTCCTCCCGGCACCCCATTAGCCCCCAGGGACGGTCGTGCGCAAGTCACTACAGTCGTTGAACCATCGTGTTCCGGCTGAACAGAAGATTCCTGCCAGTTTTGCCCAAGGAGTCCTTTAAATGCCTACTCAGGTGAGCAACGACATCCTTTTCAGTGCTATCACACGAAATACTGCTTACATAGAAAGGCACACCATCGTTATTGAAAACACGGGGGGGGGTCGTATTGGACTGAAACGGAGGGAGTCGTGAGCTGAGGTCTCACTCGGAAATGGGAAGAGCAAGCGAGACTCAGATGCTGCACGCTAGTTTGATGATAAAAAATTCATCAACGGTTCTTGTAGAACGCCTGTGACAGAGGCAAGCCACAAGCCAAGAAATGGGGAACGGGCGTGACAGGAAGTACGGTAGCCGCCTGCAACGATGTCATGAATTTTTAAACGAACGCAATACAGTAGGGAGACCACCTTCTTGCACGGAGAAGCTTAATC